ATATCTGCAGTACCTCATGACACGTCAATGCTGAATAAACGTAATTATTCAGCTGTTATTAGCGTATCAAGTGGGAGCGTTATAGACTTATAAAGGTGTGTTCAATGTTGAGGACATTGTTTCTGACTTGAAGCGCCTCGGAAGAAACCAATATAATGATTGGGTACACTTCGTATCAACAGCTAGCTAGTCGCTTTAGTTTTAAATCTGGTCTAGTGAGAACCCGAGTTTGTTTTAGCGACAAAGCCGCAGCTAAAGTGCGCAGTTTGAAAGCCATATTTCGCAGGCGGTAGTTGCAGCTTGATTGACTGCCATTTTTTCAGAATGATAAAAAATTTATTGAACATATTTTACAAATATATAATAATATAAAATATAATAATATAAAATATAAAAATAAAATCATAACAATCCGAGAAAGACGTCTTGTGCGACCCGGCAGTAATTTAAAAAATGGATAGCGGAATGGATCCACTTTAGTGGCCATGTATTCCAATTCGAATCGAAAATTCCGAAATTTTGCGCTCTTAATATATGTCGCGACATTCCTAAAACAAATTTATGGTGTTTTACGTTATATTATATATGTATATATAAATCAGCGTTTCCCAAACTTTTTTGGTCGCGGACTATTTTCTCACCGGCGAAAATCTTTGTGGACTTAACGTGCTTTTATTGCAACCGTACTGTGTGTGAAGAAGTAATAAAACCAAACACAACAGAATTTTAACGAATTTCAAAATCGAAAATTCGCCGCAATTACGCGTTTGTTAAAAGAACCGACTTTTTTAGTGTATAAATGCTATTTTCTGTCGCACAATATTCAATCCATGACAACGACGAGAATTTAAAATGTCTTTCTATTTCAATTTAATTGTGTTCATGGTCACTCGCGGTTGCGTCGACTTATGACAAGATGAAAGCATTACATATGTATTACAACCTATGAAGATGTTGAGTAGTGTTATTGCCCCAACACTAATTTTCTGATATGTTTTCTATCATTCTGTTAAACTCAGGCTAGAAAAAGTCAGGTTAGTAGGATGAGCACAGGAAACTGAGGCAATAATCTTTAACTTTAACAGAATGAAAATTTAAAAAAAATCGAAAAATTAGCCGTGGGCAATAACAGGATAACACAAGGTTGTGTTCTGTAATAAAATAAATATGTGACCAAACTTCAATGAAGTAATAATTTCAGTGCTGATTTGGTTTGCGATTTTTTCCTAATTCGGAACATTTCTTCGAATTCTCAGCTGAGTTGGGGAGACTCGAGTCAGTGACTTGACGCGGGTCACATTTTTCAACGACTCGAGTCATCTAAACCAGGGGTGTGCAAAGTGCGGCCCGCGGGCCAAATGCGGCCCGCAAAGGAAAATTGTGCGGCCCGCGGAGGCAACTGAATAGCACTTTGAAAAATTTTAATATTAAAAAATAAAATAGCTAAATGAGTTTTGGTTCCAGCCTATCAGTTGATGTTGTCTAAATCGAACCTAGAATAAGATTTGACAGCAAATTATTTGGAAATGAAACTTGGCGCATTTTACTGAAAACTTCTCAATCAAGTTACTTCCCACATTTGAAAAAGTCATGACTTCAAATATGGCACTTTTCGGTAATATATTTTTGTTCTAAAATGGGCGTCGCATCGAATTGCTAGCACTTCCATTTAAGCAAATTTGGATAAAAAGTAGTCGGGAAAAGAATCCAGCAGAAAATTTCTCACTGAATTCGTTTAAATTGGGTGCAACAATATATATCTTTAAATTACAGTTCTAAGAACTTAATGCGTTTTACTCATCATTTCTGTAAGGACCATGAGATCAATAACAAAAAGACACCATTTTGTGCCTGCAACTAATAGAAAGCCTGTGTGAAATGTAGGTGCGGCCCGCGGTTTAACCCGGTTATTGATATTTGGCCCGCCTGCGAAAAAGGTTGCACACCCCTGATCTAAACGAAAGAACTCATCCTCGGTTAACCACCAGAGAGACTTGACTCACTGAAGACTGGAAGATGATTTTGAGCGAGTCTTTGCATTAGCAAAAAATTCCGAAAAATAACGATTTTTCAGTTCGAATAATATTCTATGGAAAAAATGATACCTTCCTAGTTTTTTGCGACAATAACTTAACTCGAAATAGGCCACGTAGATACTGAAGTCAAAGATTTTAATAAGTAAGGTTAGTGTTTTTATATTTATCCTTGAAGAGGAAAGCCAATACGACAATTTCTTCTAGACATCGAAGACTATTTTTGTAATACCAGACATGGTATATTTTCTGTAAATCATTTTTATTATTGGCATATACGCTGGTAATATTATCACATTTGAATTTGACAATTAACGTCATCAGTATGTATTACGTCACACTCTGCTAAAATATCGTAAAATTTGTCAATATAGGTTATTTCAAAGAATATTATGTCCAATTAAGTAAATATTCAATATTGAGTTCTTAGATTTACTGATTCAATTCAGCTGCAAGGTGTCGTTAACTTGATGACTCTTTGAGTCTTTGGCGACCCTTCGTCAGCTGCAAAAAGCCGATATTGGTTTTTGTAATTTGTGACATGTATTTTATTCATTTCGCATCGCTTGTCGGTATTGCCCGATAAAAATAATATCTGAATCTGATCAAAATAATGTTGAAAAACTAATTTGAATGTTTCTCAGGAAATCTATAAATGCTCGCATTATTTGTTATTGTATTATATACCGGGTTCGTTACCCTATTGCCCTCGCAACCTGACTTATTGCTCTTTCAAAGCCCATCGCGTGCAACTATAATGGATAGCTTTAATATCATATTACCGGTAGCAACAATTTTGTAAGCCAATAAAATGAATTTCACTCAAGCAGATTACCGGTTTTAATTTGATAATACTGTTATACAGAGCCCTTTTTTCACAAACTTCAAATAATTCCATTGTAGTACTAAAAGAGTGGCTCCCAACCGCGGTGCCGCGGCACATTAATGTGCCACGAAATGAATTTGGTGTGCGCGAAGAGATTTCATTTTTGAATTTATTTTAGGTGATTCCAATCCCACGAATTCCGCGAGAACCCCACGGCTCTTGCTAACAAACAGAAACGACAAGTTTGAGGAGTCTTATTTGGGTATTGTTTCAATTCCAAGTTTTGCATAAAGTGCGCCAACACCGTTTCGTGAAATTGAAAATGTCAAACATGTCGCCGATATGAACGCATATAGGGTTTTGTTTTTATTTTAAAAAACAGTCTGTTTTAACACAAGGGCTTGTTTCAAATCGATTTCTTTCTGTATCTTTTGTCAGGTAGACGTTTCGAGTAAGAAAAAGCAAAAAAAAATCATGAAATATACAAACGGTTTTACTAAAAAATTTTCATAAAATAAAGGCTTCATTATGGAACAGACAGGTCAGTTAATTTGAATTACCGTACTTTGTTTTAAGTTAAGGGGTAGTGTCCAAAGTTATAGAAATTCATTTATTCGGCCGTATTTCAATGTTTTTCATCTTTTGAACGATACATATTTAGAATTATTATCCTAAACAAAAAATACGAGATTTATGAAGTTTTAAACTGACATTATTCTGGAACGAGCCTTCACAGTTTGAAAATAAATTCAAATTTGATTTTCAAGGGCCTCGAGGTTTGAGTTTTTAGCTTTTAGCCTTCCTTGCCTAATGGTAGACTCATGAGCGATGTGACAATGTGCAAAATGATTGCTGGACTTCTCGTCGTCGCAGGGTAGTTCACGTGATGGCTTAGCGTTTGCGTCTTCCCCCGTCAAACAATGTGCGGGCGCATTGCGCTACAGCTTGAGTAGGCGAATATAGGTAAGTCATCAATATTTGTGGCGGTTGGAAAGGTTTATTGCAAATAAGTAGCATTTGCAAGTTTTAACATCCACTTTTCTGGATTTAGTTTTGACCTATTTAACACAAAAAAATCAAATAATACAGACATTTTAAACAAAACAGGCGAAAAAACTCGATTTAAAACAATTACTTTCGAATAAATCCCTAAACGCATAGTTCTCTCAGGAATATAAAGCCAAACGTAAATGCTATGATCATTTGCATCAATACATGCTCGACCCTTGCACGAAATTTATAACGCGAAAAGATATGTCCAGCGGTTTATAACACCTTTAAACCAATTTAGTGTTTTTATCGATAATAAAAAATTGTTGTAATGAAATACAGTTCTTTTGCCTTTTTCATTTCTCCCGCAAGTGTCGACAATAACTTTATTGAATGATTTTGGCAATGGGAGGAACATATCAAAGGTAACAAAAAAATAATCAGATTGTGCAAGAGTGAGGATACCTGTGATAATAATAAGGGCAGAACGTAGAAGAGTGAGCAAAACCGACGCGAGATCGGCGGTGCGTTTGGAGACCTCGTATTACCCATGCGGCCGCGCGTCTTTCACAACCATGTGCGTTCTCCTGTACATTATTGTAAGAAACAGTTATAATATCGGTAACTATAAAACATTTGTTCGCGCTCGACTATCGCACAAAAGCGGAAACAACATGTGTTTAAATATAGACGAAATTATTGGGGAAGGGGAGCTCGGGATCGTCCACCTCGCCTGCGTTATGAGAGTGTCGCTCTCACATAGTTAAGGAGTATGTCTCCCCACATTCGTACATGCATTGCAGCAGTAGTTGCCTAAAGAAGAACCAGGCATAACAGTCCCACTGACATTATTCTACACCTGTTGCAAAATACAGGATAAGTTGTATTCAAATGAATAAAATTCGCTTTGTCTGATCTTCTCTGCTTATTATTATTTTATAGTTTTATGATGGGTGTGCCGAGAATATTTGAAGTTCTCAATAGTGTGACGCGATATAAAAAAGATTGGGAACCACTGTACTAAAAACTTATCCTGCCCTAATTAGTTGTGACTCCCGCGGGCCAATTTGCGGGCACGTAACAATTTAATATGCCCGCCGAACTTGAGTGAAATAGTTAAACACTTTATGTTTTTACCTTTTTTGCGTTCTAGACATCGTCCAGGCACTAGGTAGACTTAGATTTTAGGAAAATATGGAAATATTCGTTAAAAAGCATCGCAATACTGAAAAGGATCATGAATTTTTCACGGTCAATGAACCACTCGATGGAGGTAAGTTCAGTTATTTTTTGTCCTCTTGAAGACACCTTCACCGTTATAGGTATGTCGTCTCCAATCACGTCATATCGTCTGGTTACCAGTACCAGTTTGCTGTGGAGTTATAATAAATGTATAATTCGACTCTAAATTCAAAGAAAATTTAACCATAGCGTATACAAGTCTTTTTTAATGGACTGTAAAAACGCTGAGTACACTTAATCCTTTTTGAGTTTCTGTTGAACAATTTGACACCTATTATCATTATCAGCATTTGAATATACCTAAGACTCGGGAATTTCATAATAATTTTGACTCTTTGACAATACAATTACAGCAAAATTTCGCCAAAATCTGACTCCGCAGTCCAGGGCGCGTATGGGGTTAGATTACCTGTTGATTAAGAAGAAAAAAGTAACCGATCTCCAGTTACGTGCAGGGGAAAGCCACGGGTAGGGAGGAGGTATAATCTTGTGTGACAGATAGCCCTTTACCGCCAATTTGCTCGTCTGGTCATTGCGTAATTAGATCAGTCGATGACCCATTCCTTGGTACGATGATAATGTCACGCGCGCACTCTATACTTGCGTGCATGCGAGGCCGCTCGTTTTATCCCTCGAATTATATTTGAATTTATATATAAGGGGCATCATCATCATAAACTCCCCCCTAGCAGCAGAAAAGTTTGACACATCCTTACTGTGCACCAGCGCGTGAATATGTACACGCGCTTAATTATCTTCACAATATTCAAACCTGGCAACTCATGCAGGGTCACTAGGCTTGCACGTAATTGACAAAAATCAATTCCGTAATTACGGCCAAATCGATTACGTAATGACCCCGTAATTGCGATATTTTTTTTCACACTTTTAAACCTATCATAACAACCAATTTAATCCACTTCTATTCCGAATGGGACATCGACAGTTGGGACAGTTTGGTTTTCATATTTCCGCCAGTACTACACGCCGGCGACAGATGCTGAAGACAAATATCAAGGAGTGAATTCAAATTAATTTTATTCTGATTTTTATCTTTTGCGTTAGCTTTGATTTTTCTTTATCAACTTTATCACCCAATTTTATGCGACCAATTTCATCATTACCAACACTGGTAAGTGGTAATATATTTATGAAACGATAGTTGACTTTTTTAAAATCGTATTAACGTATTAATACGAGTTTCGTATTAAATAAAAATTCCGGGTTTCTAATTTATAAATCAACGACGAGCGTATTCTCTCGTTTGATTATACTTGCGCTTGCCTCGCGACGAAGACTTGTTATTGTACCGTTTTTTTTTACATTATCCGACTTTACTACCTAGTTAGCATTTTATAATAATTATTGATGCCGACTTATTGACGATATTCCGATTACCATGCTTCATTTTACGTTAAATCATTTCGCGGCCTAAATGTTAACATTATTTGCGATAAATTTAGATCAAATATTAATTATTTGCGCATAATTTAACTCTGAAAATACAAAGGTATATCGCAAAACAATGCATTTTGTGACATTTATTTTGCACTCACGAAAATATTAATTTACTTTTCTAACTCAAGTCGACAATCTTATCGGCTAAGATTGACACAAGTTTGGTCGAGTGCCGGTTGTATTTGAGTCGACGATAAATCAAAATAAGTTGCCGCATTTTGGACTTAAAGATTTTGTAAAGACATATTTGGCCGAAATAGTGCGAGGCATTGTGAAAACAAGGCCAAGTCCAGACAGATATATAACGATAAAACCGGTAACAGAACATCAAGATTTTGTAATAGAAAATGGATCTCGCGCAGAATAAACATGGGAAATCCCGTCTATTTGTTGTTTCTCTGCCGTCTGAATCGCTTTGCCGATGCCGAAAAGACTAAGTTGCGTTGGTTCATTACGCAATTTCTCTTCCGTCGTCATATTGCTGTTTGATAAGCGCGACATTAATTATCACGGCATTTACGAATAGACCATGTTTGGTAAGTTGATCTCTTACATTCTTTAGTCATTTCACCCGAAGAAGTTGAAACCAGGTGTGTTGGCGTCCATCGGTCTCAACACAATTCTATCCCATATCTACGCTTAATATGTACATTTGCCATGCTAGATAAGTTGATAATAGGTTAGTAAATGGCAACGAGTTATGCCTTCTCCATCTGCGTAAAAGAGAGAGAAAAACGGCTGCGAATACCGGAACTCTAACTCCTTCTGCTTATTAAACTTTAATTTTTTACAATCGACGGAATTGACTGCTCTGAAGAGAGCTTGTTTCAATCGCGAAAGCCCTCCACCAATAATTACGAATTTACGTAATTCGTAACTTCGCTTCCGTAACTCGAAATAATTCCGTAATTCCGTAAATCCGTAAATTACGTGCAAGCCTAGCAGGGTGTAATGGTAATGCGATAGTGCCAAATTCTAGTCGCCCCGTTCTAACATAATCAGGCATACCACCTTTCCTAATACTTCAACAAGAGTCTTGTCATTTTGGCATTGCCGGGTTACATTGCTTTTACATCCTAGGTGATTATTGCCATGTTTCTGCAGAAGCACAATTTGAAAAATAATAGTAGCTTTACAGTTGTATTTGATCCATTTCCAATTACTAACTAATCATATTAATTTATATTTCTAACCCAGGAAACAGATGGGCGATGATTGGGTGTATGGCGGGAAAAGTGTTGATTCAACACGGCGTCATAACTGAAGCAATGAAACTCAGAATGGTGGAGGAATGGGCTTCTACTGAATTTGGTATGTAGAGGAAGCTTACACATAAGAGTAGCCATGGGGATGGGGCATAACCCCCGGTTTTGCGTTTTTTACATTGAGACATAAACCTTTTTATCGCTATTTTGCTCTATTAGTGAACAATTCACTGATAACCCGGCGTTTCTTGACTTCCCTTAGGCTACTATAAATAAACCAAGATCGATAAAAACACGCGCTTGTAAAACTTTGACAGCAAATTAATTAAGTATGTTGATAAATTCTTTGGAACATCAGTGGCTGGAGTGAAAGGCGCGAATAAGCGTCGTATTACGCCGCCCTCCCCTCTCCCCCAGAGAAAAATACCCAGACTGGCTACGCTCTCGAGTTTACATCAACATATTTTTTGTGGCATTCAGCAGCTACTTATAGACACCTGAAGCAAGGCATGATCCAATCTTGATTACCGCGAGTAATTCCTAACTGGGCGCCACACCATTACATGTTTAATCTTAAGACCATACATTTTCGAAAATTCTTTTGAATTTTGGTTTTACAATTTCATGGGCCTGTTTGCCGTATAGTAGAATGACGCCCAAACTTCTTCTCCTTTCGGTAAAGGAAAGAAACAATGCTTTACTTCCAAATTCAACTAAATTTTCCTGTTCTTAGTATCCGAAAAGCAAGCAAAGATAACATTGATCTGTGAAGCTCTGAGATTCATTGGTTACAGCCCGAACAACCGAGACAATTATGAATTTGGTAAGATTATGATTTATAAATAGGTCGGGCGGGAGGAGTCATCCTCAAAATATAATATAGTATAAGTATTCGTATCTCACCAAATAACTGTTGTTTTCATTTCACTATCTAATGTTATCTTATTTATGTTTTGATCTACGATACGCTATAACAACGCGGACTACCCGATTCGTACGATAAAAACAGCACTGTAGTCATTTTTGATGCTATGTTACGACATAATTGGATGAAATCGTTTGGCGAATATCAATAACGGGGATTCACTTTATTGTTGCCATCTTGCGAAAAAAAAATTTGGTGCTTTCGCCATCAATTTGGTTGTCGGTCTTCTGCAAAAAAAATGGTGATTACACGACCCTGCCTAAACAATAATTCTTGTATCGTTCCAGGCGAGGATTCTACCTTCGAATGTTGTGCCATCTGTACTGTAAGAATCATCCCTAACGATTCCTGGATGCGCTTCGTGCGTCTCTATCTCAAGTTGAGTGAGGATGTGATCGAGAGAGTCAAACTGGAAGGAAAACTCACTGAAGAGCAGAAGTTGCAGATCGCAAACTTTGCGATATCGAACTAACAAGTAATTTTTTTTCTAGTAAATTTTTAGGTCTTATTTCAGTGGCTCCCAGCCGTTTTCAATGAATATATCTCTTCGGATAGCTTGTGCTATTTGCGGCCTGTTTGAATAGTTTATGTATTAAATCAACACTAAACAACTAGTAAATATCAATAATACAACACCGGATACAAAGTAATATTTTTCTATTTTCTTCCCGGAAATTTTTTTTTTCTCTTCCTTTCAGCAAACTTTATGACTTTTGAGTCTCTTACCATGATTTTGACTTTATCACCATTGAAGGTCTTTGTTTATTTATTTGTTTTGGTTTTATATGATAAAACAATATTGCAGTATTAATACAATATAAACGTTTCCATATCTGACTAAGGAAAACAAGAAAAAGCGCCGTTTTGTGTCAAAAGATTTGATTCAAATGTTTTTATTTCTAGGGACAGCTTCAGAAGATAAGAAGGATTATGAGTTATGATAAGAAAAAAATAAAACATTACAAATATTTCTACACACAAACATCAATTAGCCTTAGAAGACTATTTTAACCGTAAATTTAGAATCCGTGTGTACATGTACTGTAGTTATTTTTTTCTGTGTCAACTTTTTAATTAAGCCTACTGTCAAAACGTAGCGGTTTGTATTACCGTCTTGAAATTGCATGTATATTAAATTACTCGTTACAGTTACAGCGGACATAAAAGATGAATGATTAAACCAGGGTTACTTAACTGGCGGACTGCGGTCCGAATCCGGACCTTTCGAGTATTTGATTCGGACCGCACCTAATTCTTTATTTTAGATCATTAGCCCCACTTTTAAAGTTTCATTTTATAAAATGACTTTTATAGTTTTGAGTATATATGAAAAGAACTATAACACCATAATATACAATCTTGATTAGCTGATAATCATTAGCTGGCCGAGGAAGTGCGCTTTTAAGGATGCCGAAATATAATTTCTGGGAAGACCGGACCCAAATAATTTCGAAGTTTTGTATGCGGATATTTGGTAAAAATAGTTGAGTAGCCCTGGGTTAAACAATCGAACCGCATTTGCAGAAAAAATATTAATCAGCCAGTCGATTCCTCGGTTCCGAATTCGGTTTATTTAGTACAAAAATGAAAAAAAAATCTATTGTTATAACAGGTAGTTCAAATATTCAGAATCTTCCCTATTCATTTGGGGCGAGAAAATTCTGAGTGTGTATCCCATACTTATCCACATTTGGCATGTATATTTGAAAAACGAATCAAAAATTATGTTCCGATCGGTAAAAATATTCAGATTCTCCCCTCCCAAATAAGCAAGAAAAATGGCTGGAAGATTCTGTTTATATATCGTCTTCAGGACTTCCTGTAGATTTACAAAATTTGGCGTCATATAAGAAATCATGACGTCATAAATTTAAAATCACAATACCCTACAACCAACATAAAATCTCTGATCGCATGGTTACTTAAATGGTGCGCTGTAACAACTAATAACATCTTATTCAACCTGTCGTTTCATGGCGGTAACTCAAATCACTGCTTTTTGGCGATTTACCATTTTTACATAAATTTTGAGTTTGCTTAGATTAATTGTGTTTTAAGATAATTTCTGCTGATTTTGTGCTGATTTACACTCCCTTCCCCTTATAACTTTTGAATTTCAACGCGTTTTCTTAAACATAACGTTCACAAGTATAAATTTTCTAATGTTTTTGCCAAAGGGGGTTTTCGTTACCTACTAGGCTAAGCTTTTTCATATTTTCCGACGTTATTTTAAAAAGATAATATTTTCGGTGTCGAAAATTATGATTTCTTTGCTTTTAATTTTGCATTCTTTTCTCTGGCATCTTATCTCTTACAGTACATGACCTCACGAATTACTTTCAAAACAAACAAACGACACTAAAACGAGTAATTGATCTCTTGATGCGACCACAACTTGACTTCGCATGACATTGTCCCGAATTCGAATATTCGTTTGCAATTGGCCACGTAAGCTCAAATTAGTTTTCGTTAAACTGGTAAAACTGTTTGTAGCAATTCGCCCGTTCAGCAATATTGGGAATCGCTCAAAACAGCCACAGAATGTATTCCAACATACAAAAACATGAAAACATAACCCATCAAAAACCATCCTCTAATCCGGGCACAGCCATATACAAAAACATAATAAACGGTATTAAATCATAAAGAACTAAAATCACGAATTCGGGACAGCGCTGCTTACATCCGATGGTCGGAAAAAGGACTATCAAACCGAGGGATCGACTTATGTGACAAGATTCCCGAGAAGTGAATGCTTAATTATATGAAATCATTGAATAAGCATACTCCTAAACGAATTGAACAACTGTTTCATGGTCGTAAATTGTTCATATTTTCCCCACTATTGTGCATATTTTATTGCTTTCAAAAATGCTTCTCTATGAAATCATGTGCTACGTAAATCTTTTCTATTAACAAATAGTAGATGTCTCGATTGGTGAATTAAAAGTATTGTTGGAAAGTGCAACTATTAGGGCCGGAATGTCAATCTCAAACTAAATTTTCAGTGCTACATTAGCGAGAATCTAATTCTGAAACAGGACTATTTATACCTTTCATCACTCATCACGCACAAAGTTTAATGTTTACTACAAATTTTTTGGAGCTTCCATAAAAACAGTTTTTGTATATTTTGCAGTTTTTTTCAAATCAAAAGTTATGCACTTCCATAGTAACACATTATTATAGCACCAAATAATAACAATCTGTTTTTGGCATTATTGCTCAAAAGTTAATTTCAAGTCTCAGCCATTCATCAGGCCAAAGTTAATAAAAGGCTCTCTTCCGCCTCGAATATATCTGGATTTTACAATAAAAAACAGTGCTCCCGTAGTATTCGTTCCAAGATGCCGTACAACCTGACCATAATAAGTGTACCAGGTTGTGCACCATCTTGGTACGAATACTACGGGGTCGCCTAAAAACCCATTGTTGCCTTTTACCTCCATAGAATCACCTTAAATTTTCCCCAAACCGAACATTTTGCCCAGAGCTACAAACCGTTTTTTTGTTACGATTTAAAATTCTTATGTAAACAGTGTATTTTACTACAATTATGATAATAATTAATTATTGTGAAATTAGGATACTGCCAGGAATAAATGGTTTCTCAAACTATTTCTGAAAGAGACGGCATCCATTTTTTTCTCCCTTATTTCGAAAACCGTTGTTCTATAAAAGTTTGTTTTGTTAATTGTATAATAGTTAGCATCCCTACTAAACACTATTATATTGACTCGTCTATTGATAAAAAAAATTCCATATTTCCGGATCAGCAGTTTAATTCCAAAACGGCCGCTTGTAGCTCTTGACTGTATATTCTTGGCAGAAATTCCCGATTTCACAATTTTGTTGTTAAATTTTTTTCAATTTTTGTTTTGTGTGTAGATAATTAGGTTGCATTAAAAATACTTAATATTATATACCTAATATTATATTGCACGAGAAACACGTCCACTACTCCATTGGAAGTTATTGAAGTATTGTGTAAGTAACATTACTTAACTCTGAGAACCATTAGTCAAGTCAGTTTATATGATTGCTGGATTCTCTTGCTGTCAGGCTATACCGGTACTGTAATTTCTGAGTATAAAGCAGTAATGTTAAATTTGTAACATGAATCTGTAAAAAATAATTCATTCAATTCTATCAGTAGTTCCATTGCCTGATTGCTAAATATAAAATTGTGCCTTTTTCAATTACAGAATTAAGTTGTACAATCTCCTTCCCGCGCTACATCACCCACATCTTCCGATGATGGGTGAAAACCCACCAGGAGTCGATGTGCTTGAGGGTATGTATTCACGTGTGATATTTTTCATTTTTCTAATTCAGGCCTCCATAAAATAAATAAAAAAGTTTCAGTGCATATTTATTCAACACAAACCAACGACAAACTGGGAATTCAAAGCGAATTAACGACGCCGTAAGTAAACGCCGATTGATAATGACAGTAAACGCCGATTGATGTGAGATTTGAAGCAAGTAAAGTCGTATATACTAAGAAAGAGAAAGCGTAGTCTAAATATTCTATACTGCCTTTGTTCTATTGGATCCGATTGTAAAATTACTGTAGCAAGAATCAAAACGGCAATAATGAGTGGTGCAAAAATCTTGCATCACACTTTCACAAATTTTAATCTGTAACTTTTCATTTAGTCAAAGTCAGACTTCCCCTGAAAAGCAATTTACAACAACGATAATTGTGACTCTGGTTAGACGAAACATCTCATAATAAAGACTTTGAATATAAATGCAACTGTTTGTTCTCTCTCAATAATAATTGAATGATTACATTTTACAGGCGTACTGCAGAAATACGCCTGCACTATAAACAATTGTGAATGGGATCGCTTCTGCAGGGCTCTGAAAATCCCACCGTGGGAAATGAACCGATGGAAAATGTCCACTCTGTGCCAAGAAGAGAAGTACCAGATGATCCAAGGATCATCCAGAAAAGGTTATTTACATGCATTTCGATCACAATTTAGCTTGGTAGTTTTAAACCTTTCTGGATATGTTCCTCTATTTGCCTATTTTGAATTTCTTTATTCCTTTCTCGTTAGAAAAGAACGAAACATGGTAACTGTACTCATACTTCTGATCAGGGGCGTAGGCAGGTGAGTGGTTTTGGGGGAACAAACCCCCTCCCTTTGAAATGTGAAAAAAAATAAAAGCACCTTCCTGTATCATACGTAGCGTAGCGTATTTTCCTCAGCTTGAAACGCTGTTTAGACCCGCAAGACTCATGGAAACGCACGTTTCCGGCGATCGTCCGCCCTTCTTGAATATTTCTGGCTACGCCCCTGCCTCTGATTTTATAAACATCGTATTCTAGATCCCAATGGGGTTTCGGAGAGGGTCCAAGATTACTTTGGATCAACGAATGGATTACTTTGGAACGACGGCGGTAAGAAAACTTATTTTACGACGTATCTCCACTTTTAACTCCGAACCAGGTCTTATACAAACAGCTTCAAAATTCTCGAGCTACTAATTTTAGAGTGACCGGAATTATCCCGGTTCGCCACCGCTTTCCTAACATACTAAAATCTGAGTGAGACGTCAGACATGGTGTTTGAACCGATGATCACTCAGAGACTCCGAGCAAAGTTATCACTCATACCTGAGCAATGATACGGGCACTCACTTAGACATAAGGGGGGCTCATCTCTGAGCAAAGGTACGGGCACTCACTCAGAAGTAAAGGAGGCTCATTCCTGAGCAGTGGTACGGGCACTCACTCAGAAGTAAAGGCGACTCATCTCTGGGCAAAGTTACAGGCACTCACTTTGAAGTAAAGGAGACTCATATCTGAGCAAAGTAATGGGCACTCACTCAGAAGTAAAGGCGACTCATCTCTGGGCAAAGTTACAGGCACTCACTTTGAAGTAAAAGAGACTCATCTCTGAGCAATGTTACGAGCACTCGCTCAGAGGTAAAAGAGACTCATCTGTGAGCGAAGGTACGGGCAATCACTCAGCCATAAAGGAGGCTAATACCTGAGCTTATAAGTTACGGTAAACCAATGAATTGCAAAGAGTTACTTAAACTATATGCATTTATGGTGGCAAATTACGTTAATTCCCTGACGAAAATATTGACTCCGAAAACCTGCAATGAATTTGAAGCATCCGGAAAACTTGATTACGAATTTCTTCGGCTTTACACGGAATGTGGAATTTGGAAAAGTGTCCAACATTTTCCACGTATTATTATATTTATTTAACTTTGGCAGGTGAGTTGGATGCTGTGACAGTATACGGCATTATCGACCGCATACCAAAGAGTAGCTGGCCACGCTTTGCACGTCTCGTTCTTAAAGTAAATCACGCAAGATTCAGTCCTTGCAACCTCAGCCAAGAGCAGAAGTTGCTGATGCTGAAGGAATGGTCATCTTATCGTAAGTTATATTTGAAGGTTTTCTCAGGATGTGGTTTAAACCAGACTAGCGCTATATGGCCCGTAATACGAAATCGGGCCGAATGTCACGAAAAATGTAACGGATTTCATATAAAAGTGTCCCTTAGATTTATTTTGGCGGCATGGTCCATCAGCTGTGTCAAATTTTTTTATTCACAACCTCAACAATTCAACAAAACAATAAAAATCATCGTCGTTCCTAGGATGGCTTTTCCGAAAGAGATTTCTCAAAATTCAAATGGGAATATTTATTCCGAAAAGAGAAAAGCGGAAAGGCAGTAATACGGATTCAGATATTTATTTTCGTCATGCAAAAAAAAAATGCGCGATATGAAAAATGAATAAATAATATAATATAACACAATGCCAAACAGATATCGGCTTGTTGCAGTTGACGCAGGGTCGCGAAAAGAGTCATCTAGTCAGCGACACCTTGCAGCTGAAGTTAAGCAGTAAATATAGCAAACAGGACACTCATTATTACACATTAACTTAATTGGACACGATCATGCAAAATTGAGGGACAAAAAAATAAAACTCAATATTACACATTGGCTTAATTGTGCACCATCGATCAAAAAAAGGAAAAACAAAAGAATTCGAGTAACTACGGAATGCCACAGACACAGTGGAATATCAAACATTTACTCAATTAAATACAATCACATAAAAAATAAAAAAAAGAGCAACAAAAAATTCAATATAAACCACTGCGTGCCACAATGACGTTGGAATGAAAGGTTCACTTTAAATTTAAACACAATATAGGGTAGTAGATGACGCAACAGCGACATCTGTAAAAAAGTTATGCCTCATTGACCGCAGAGCACAGCGAGATAACAATGCGTGTAATGATCCAGCATTCAGTCTATTCTATGCCAAGATGGCGTGCCCAGCAACAGTATCTTTAGTTGCTAGTACAGTAGATCGAACCACGAGCTGCCGCTCGAATAGCAGTGCAGGTCGGATGAGGGAATAGTTAAGCCAAATACTAATTGTCAATTTTCTACCTCAACCTAACTGAATTTCATATTTCTAGAACACCCATCAGTTGATATAAGAGCAAAGCTGGAAGAAGCTTATCGCGCACTTGGACCCATGTTGCAAGGTAAGATGCGACAAAGTGGGAAAGGTCGGGACATTTTTCTTTTTTCGAGCCCTATAACCTGCACATTCATTTAGCATTGCTCGGCTGATGCAAAGTGGGGTAATTTAGCCCATCAATAGTTGCCTATAAATCTTCTATTGATCATCTTTAAGGCTATAGCAACAGTGATTTTAGGAATTGAGCACACACGATTCTTAGAGGTAGAAGAAACAATAAGTTACACTTGCCAATGTGATATTTATTATTTATTTAAATACTAGGGCGGTGGTTTCACCGCCGGATGGTGGTGCAACACACACCCCTTCCGAACGTTCTCAACACTTGAGGGCTCTTGCACTTTTATGAAAAAATACATGGTTTTTGTTACTAACGTATTTCCATCACGTCTAATAATATTAAGTCAACAAATGAAAGTAACGAACGCATTCAAGTGAAGTTTATTTTATCTAGCCAGAAAAAAATCTCGTACACTATTCAAACATGTCCATTTAGTATTGCATTGCTCTATTGTTTTTCAGGACCGACGCACATTGGGACCCTCATCTTGAATGCCGAAAATGTGCATGTCACTAACATGGAAAGAAATAACATCGGGACTTTAGGAATGTAGCGAAACGTGTATAGGCCTATATCTAAAACGGAGCTCCCGTAGTATTCGTACCAAAATAGCGCACAACCTTCTAACCCTGACCTGGTACACATACTAAGTTCAGGTTGGGCGCCATCTCGGTACGAATACTACGGGACAAAAAAACAGGGAGCAAATATTTATCGATAGTGCAGAACGTTACAAAAACACATTTCAATTGTCGATTTACCTGCATTTATAAAGGTTAAAGAATCCTTTACAGGCTTGTCCATGGGAATGGGATTCCCATGGGATGGGACAGCACACATTTGTATTTTCCATGGAACACGTGGGACACGAAAACCTTATGATTGTAGGGGAAATGATGGTAAAACATTTCGTTATGAACTTCGTGTACATATATTTGAGCATAGCTCTCGTGTTAGGTATAAAGAGGCAAAATATATTCAGCATTAACAATATACTTCGTGAAGGGGCTGATGGACACATGTATAATAGGTATTAATATAAAGTTGATAAAGTCCGTAAATTTTGTTGTTTTGCTTGTCTTTTCGTACATTTAGTCCTATTTAGTAGACGCTAAACCTAGGTTTAACAATTTTCATTGAATTTTATTCCAATGGGAATCCCACGGGATGGGATAAGACAGGCATAATTGCTATGGGATGGGAATGGGACATAAAAATATGTCCCATGGACAAGCCTGATCCTTTAAGTAATGGGTATTTTTTGAGGATAGAAATAATTTGGATTCTGTTCCCACTGACACTATCTACGCAATTTTATAAAATTTCTACTTTCGGTAATTTTATACTATTATTCCGACGTTTTAAACTCTGGCTATACTGGGGTTGCCATACGTCCAGTTTTTAGCCGAACATCCGAATCATTACCAACTCGCAGCGTACAAAATAAACAAAAAAATTGTTTGGAATTTTCGAGTAACAAATAGATGGTGTGCATTGTATCGTCGATTATTTCATAGCCGTCTATAAATGATGTCAATTGGAACCAAAAATTTTTTTTTTTTAGGAAATTCATTAACGCTATGTAACCGTTATTAGTGACCCACTAGCAGATGAATCAAAGAAATAGTGTAGTGTTCACTACAAATGATAATTCAAGGTGGAGGAGTACATGATTATTGATTAACCAAAATTTTGTTCTTGGAAGTATGGCAACCTCAGACAGCTCATCTATATTTTACATTAAACTCGAGGGCTTTAACACAAAAATGGCATTTGTCAAAATTTCGGAAATAAAGTTATCTGGAAATACTACAAGCTATAGTTCGAATCTGATACGCAAAGCTAATTTATTTATTTTAATAAATAGTAACAAGATTTTAAAACTCGAAAACGTTTTCTCCATTTTTATAAAAGAGCTTTCTCAACTTATGCCCTGGTGGATTAAAGTCTTCGAACTATTTCTTGGTGCTCCCGAAGTATTCGTACCAATATGACGCCCAACCTGAACATAGTATGTACCAGGTTAGGGTTCAGGCTGTGCGTCATATTGGAAAGAATACTACCGGAGCGCCCTATTTCTTTACTATTTTATACTGTTTACTATTAGTTATAATAAATGTTTGCTCCCAACAAACTTTTTGTGCTGTATTTCGATGCAGTGAATAGCTGAAAACTTATCAAATAGTAAATATCCTGGGAGAACTTTACTAACAGCTGGGGTTACGTGAAACTAACTACCGTTCCTTGCTCTATGCCTTTGTGCAGGTGGATCCGTATGAGTATAAAGCAAGACTCTTGAATTGAATATCCTAAGAGGGATAGTATATTTTCTAATCTGTCATTACACTACAACGAGTCAAAGAGAACGCAAGCTCAGGAAAGGTTTAAAAGTGCGACATATAGATGTGGTACAGGAAATCGTACTGTGTGAGGCAGAAAAAAACTCCATAACAGGGATGTAATATTTGAAAATTATCATGTCACTAGACACGATGGAAATACAAAGAATAAACAAGTTCTCGTCTATTTGAGAACTTTTGTTGCTCCCGTACAATGTGAACCAAAATGGTGGACCCCTGAACGTAGTATGTGTACCAGGTTAGGGTTGGTCCACAATTTTATTCGAATTTTCCTTATTTTAGTTCTCTTACGAGTTCTAATTCTATTACGAGAAATTATGGCCTAACACTAACCTGGTGTACATACCAGTGTCCGCCATCTTGGTTCACATACTACGGGTGTACCAAGCTTTTTTGTAATAGTTAACCATATTTGAAATTGTGGCAAGATATTCGATGTTATTGCCTCACTGCTCATTTTCTGATTTGATTACTTTAGTCGGAATAAGTTAGTTGGGGCAATACCCCAACTAGTCCGTATCTGAGCAAAATCGAATCAAGTCAGAAAATTTGTTACCAGGACAGTATCAATTATTTGCGCAAGTCGTCCTGTTTGGTTTAATATCAAAGATCTGGGTTGTAAATTTTTATATAAGTCTTAAAGGTTTCGCATTGAGAGGGAAAATAGGCAACAGCAATTGTAGGTAGAAAGCCCCCGCCACTAATGGAAAGATGTGAGATATCTGGTAGGAAAAATCACCACGTTTTAAATATTCAATTAGTAATTATCCAGTTGGGGTTAGGGCAAGGAATAATTTGAATTTCCAGCGCAATCTGTATCCCTAATCAAACCCTTAAATTGATGATTATTAATTTTAAGCGTTGGCGGGGGCTTCGTACAAAAGATCCGATACTTTCAGTTCCGTAATTGTGCGTCGAATCATATTTCTGCAACATGGGCTCCCAACTGCTGGTCAGCGAGAAATTTTCTTGTTTTCATATATTTAAAAATCTCGTAACTTTTTATTTTGTTGTTGATTAATGAAAATAAAACACATCGCCCAAAATAGGCCCTAGTGTTATTGAAATATAAAATTGAAATAAGACCCTGTTATGTTTTTGGGGGAACACAGTAGATTAGGTCATCAAATATACGTTTCATATACCAGAACCTGGCAGCTCTACTTGGCCGGTACTTGCTGTCCATTTATTATTGAATTGCTCTATTGTTTTTCAGGCCCTACAAACGTTGGTACCGTCATCTCGAATGCAGAAAATGTGCATATCCCTAACATGGAGGGAGATATATAGGGAAATATATATATTAGAAAAAAAAAAAAACAGGGAGCAAATATTTATCGCCTGGATATTTTTCTAGGATAGAAATAATTTTGAAATTCTTTCCGCTCACATTATCAACGCAATTTTCTAAAATTTTCACTTTCAGTTATTTTATAATACTATATTCCGATGTTAAACTCTGGCTATACTGGGATTGCCATACGTCCAGTTTTGCCCGAATCATTGCCACTTAAATGCCACCATCAACTAAATAAACAAGAAATTGTCTGAAATTTTCGAGTAACATCAAATGGATGGCGTGCGTTGTATTGTAGATTATTTCATAACCGACTATGAATGATGTATATTGGAACCATAAAAGTCTATTTTAGGGAATTCATTAATGCATGTAACCGTAATTGGTGCATTGGTCCTTTTGGAATTCAAATTTTATCTATATGAAAGACGTGTTTTATCCATTAGCAGATGAATCAAAGAAATCTCATAGTGTTCGCTAAAAATGATAATTCGGGGTGAATAAAGAAGCGATTAATAATTACTGAAAATTTTCGGGATTTTGTTGTTCGGCATTGAAAGTATGGTAATCTCAAATCGCTCATCTTTTTTTTTTTAATTTAACTCGAGGGCTTTGACACAAAAGAGCATTTGTCGAAATTTCGGAAAAACTTATCTGGAAATACTACCAGTTTTAGTTCGAATAAATATACGCAAAGCAAATTTATAAGTAACAAGATTTTAAAACTCAAAAACGTTTTCTCCATTTTTATGAAAGAGCTCTCTCAAGTTCTGTCCTTGTGGATTGAAGCCCTCGAACTATTTTTTTACTATTTTCACTTTACACAGACAATAAATGTTTGCTCTCTACAAATTTTTTGTGCTGTATTCCGATAGCAGAAAATAGCTGACAACTTATCAAATACTAAGTATCCTAAGAGAACTTAACTAACAGCTGGGGTTACGTAAAACTAACTATCTTTCCTTGCTCTATAACTTTGCGCAGGTGGATCCCTATGGGTAAAAACGCAAGGCTCTCGAATTGAATATCCCAAAAGAGATAGTATATTTTCTAATCTGTCATTACACTACAACGAGTCAAAGAGAACGCAAGCTCAGGAAAGGTTTAAAAGTGCGACGTATAGATGCGGTACAGGAAATCGTACTGTGTGAGATAGAAAAAACTCCATAACAGGGATGTAGTATTTGGAAATTGTTATGTCACAAGACACGATGTAAATACAAAGAATAGACAAGTTCTCGTCTATTTAAGAACTTTTGTTGCTCCCGTACAATGTGAACCAAAATGGTGGACCCCTGAACGTAGTATGTGTACCAGGTTAGGGTTGGTCCATAATTTTATTCGAATTTTCCTTATTTTAGTTCTCTTACGAGTTCTAATTTTATTACGAGAAATTATGGCCTAACACTTACCTGGTGTACATACTACGTTCCAGTGTCCGCCATCTTGGTTCACATACTACGGGTGTACCAAGCTTTTTTGTAATAGTTAACCATATTTGAAATTGTGGCAAGATATTCGATGTTATTGCCTCACTGCTCATTTTCTGATTTGATTACTTTAGTCGGAATAAGTTAGTTGGGGCAATACCCCAACTAGTCCGTATCTGAGCAAAATCGAATCAAGTCAGAAAATTTGTTACCAGGACAGTATCAATTATTTGCGCAAGTCGTCCTGTTTGGTTTAATATCAAAGATCTGGGTTGTAAATTTTTATATAAGTCTTAAAGGTTTCGCATTGAGAGGGAAAATAGGCAACAGCAATTGTAGGTAGAAAGCCCCCGCCACTAATGGAAAGATGTGAGATATCTGGTAGGAAAAATCACCACGTTTTAAATATTCAATTAGTAATTATCCAGTTGGGGTTAGGGCAAGGAATAATTTGAATTTCCAGCGCAATCTGTATCCCTAATCAAACCCTTAAATGGATGATTATTAATGGCGGGGGCTTCGTACAAAAGATCCGATACTTTCAGTTCCGTAATTGTGCGTCGAATCATATTTCTGCAACATGGGCTCCCAACTGCTGGTCAGCGAGAAATTTTCTTGTTTTCATATATTTAAAAATTTCGTAACTTTTTATTTTGTTGTTGATCAATGAAAATAAAACACATCGCCTAAAATAGGCCCTAGTGTTATTAAAATATAAAATTGAAATAAGACCCTCTTATGTTTTTTGGGGAACACAG